GAGAGAGAGAGAGAGAGAGAGAGAGAGAGAGAGAGAGAGAGAGAGAGAGAGAGAATGCTCAGAAAGCAGTTGGCCTTGTTACTCAGTATAGTTATCTCTACATAGTCTGGTTACTCCATGTGTGATGCTTGTAAAACCTCTTCATAGACTGAATCATCTCATAGACATCTCCAGAGGGATTGCTGAAGCCAGTCATGTTCTCATTCTTATGGACACAATAAGAATTGAGCAGGCAGGCCCAGATACACTCACAGACCCGGGAGTCGAAAGAGGATGGCTGTCAATTTGCAGCATGACATAGCAGTGTCCTGAGAAAGAGGACAACTATAGGGGTGTGTCTAGAGAAGCAGGGGCCAGAGTCTCAGAGGAGCAAAGGTAGACACCCCGGCAAAAGCCACATCTGAATGTGTAAAGTAGGAGTTTGCAAAGCAAGGATGCTTGAAAAGCCCATTGGATCGTTGAAAGAACACGTGTGCTGTGGAGTTATGTGAAGAGCATGGAGAATTTGAATCATAGTGTGTTGGAACTTGTGCTAGAAATATAAAGTGTATGAAGAAACTGCAGGATGTAAGGCTGGAGCTACTCTGTGATGCCACCCAGTGCTGGTAAGAATTACCATCCATTGCTATGGGCAATGGAGAATCAAGGGGTATTACCCGCCACACTCTACTTTATGCCTGTAAGTAAAAGTAGGGGATTAAAAGATCCAGAACACATAGATAGTGAATTCATCCTGACACCCATTGTTTTATTAGGCAGGTATATTTATTCTGTACCTTTCTTACCATAGAAAGGGGGTTTATATGGTTCAGGAAAATAAGCTTGTTTTTTGGTTAATGATTCTGGGACAAGAGGTCCCTTGCATCTCAGAGGTTTCTTCATGACCCTGTTCAACTTTCTTCTTTTCTGACCTTGAACTTTCTTATGGCTTGTCTAAAAGAAGAACATGAATTGCAATGATAATTGTGCTCTGTTGTCCCCCTGGGTCTGATTCACCAGTGACACCTTTCTTCTCCAGAGTCTTCCTGGTTTCTTTTCCCTAGTTCAACAGAAGAACACTCCCTTCTTCATGCTTCCTCTTCCCAGGGCCCCTGGCAGTACATGTGATGCCTGTACTGAAGATGGGACATTTCATCAGTATGTATACAAGGCTTCCTCGGGGCGGGTGTGTGACTCTTCAGGTTACTGGACTCCAGAGGAGGCTGTAGGTAAAGTACCATGGATTTTTGCATAAATATCTTTGTGTCCACTGAGCATGGGTATTGGATAAATCAATGGTTTATGTTTGTGTGTTTTTGTACATGGGTGAAAGAGGGTTTGCTGAAGATTTCCAAGGTCTTGGAAACACTGCTGGTGCTTCTGCATGCTGAGTGTCCTCTATTGGTATAATATGAACGTCCCATGGCTGTAAGGAATGGAAGACTTAACACAGAAGGACTGAGAAGTCAGTCCTTCTCAAGAGTAACCTCAGGGTGAACTAGGGCCAGAAATGTTGTATGTGTCTCCTAGTCCCCGAAGCAGCTTTGGTGCATGATGCTGCAAGCTAAGTGCTTACTCCTCTTTATCAGAGAGTAATAGAGAACACATTGCAGAGCACACTCATGAGCTGGCTGAGCAAGTCTGGGTGGGGGCAGGGTGGACTAGGTGTTCCACACGGATCGTTCTCATCTACGCTATTTTATGAGTCTATTAATCACTGGTACTGGTTGTGCTGTGAATGTGATCTAAGCTAAGCTCTAGAAGGGAGAAGATGTTTTTCGTTATTTCATTTCCTGTCCCTCCCCTAAATTCTCGAACAGTCACATACTCACTCACATACGTATATCAGGATCCAGAAGACAAATTCCAACAGCAGGCTTTTCCATACCAGTGCAGAAAATGCTATGGACATGGCTTCTAGCCTTTCTCAAGAAAGGCCTTGACTTTTGCCTTCCCCTGTTTTTGTTTGTTTGGTTGATGGATGGGTTTGTTCTGTTGCTGCTGTTTGTTGTTATAGTTAATTTTTTCAAGACAGGGTTTCTTTGTGTAGCCTTGGCTGTCCTAGAAATAGTTCTGTAGGCCATCATGACCTTGAACTCAGGGATCCACCTGCTTATGCCTCCCAAGTTCTGGGATTTAAAAAGAGTGTTTATTATGCCTAACTCCTCAACATCATTTTTGATGCATACCTAATCATAATCTTCTGGTCATCCTCCCCCCCCCGTAGGTATTAAGATCCACAAAACTGCTGAGAAATGTGTATTAGAAACAGTCGATTTGAATTAACTTTAGTCCTGATTGTGACAAGAAAAACAACAATAATGATATATGAATCTGTAATGATCACCTAATGTCACCTTGGGCTTATAGTCAGTTATTCAAGTGATAGACCCTCAAGGAGAAAGCCAGGTAGAAGTGATTGACAAGACTGGTTATAAATGAATCTTTTCAAAAGAGAGCACTTAAGAGAAAATCCACAAAGTGATGAGCTTTCTGTTAGAATTCTGAAGTCTCCTTCATCCTCTGACTGCTGAGATGGACTGTTCTTTTTCACTCTTTTAATGGTTGTTCCTGACATAACTTTTCTCTCATCTCCCTAGGGCCTCCTGATGTGGATCAACCCTGTGAGCCTAGCTTGCAGGCTTGGAGTCCTGAGCTCCACCTGTACCACATGAATATGACTGTGCCCTGCCCAGCAGAAGGCTGCAGCTTGGAGCTGCTTTTCCAACACCCGGTCCAAGCTGATACCCTCACACTCTGGGTCACTTACCTCTCCATGAACTCTTCCCAGGCACTCTTTGACATAGAGATCTTGCTAGAACTCAAGGAATCTGTACACCTTGGTCCCTTGAACACTTTTTGTGACACGCCGCTCACCATCAAACTCCACGTGGATGGGAAGGTCTTGGGAGTGAAAGTCTACACGTTTGATGAACGAATGGAAATTGATGCTGCTCTCCTGACTTCTCAGCCCCATAGCTCCCTGTGCTCTGGATGCAGGCCTGTGAGTTATCAGGTACTCCGAGAGCCTCCTTTTTCCAGTGGCCTGCCCATGGTGGTGACACACCCACACAGGAAGTTCACAGACATGTAAGTTGGGCAGCAGAATCTCCCAAACCATGGGACTTCCAGGATCTTGTCTTCAATTTAGCTATCTCTTCTTCTGCTCTTTAATATTCTGATATGTATGCTTTTAGAGAAAATATTTCACAGAAAAGGGAAAGCAAGTACTACGACTGCTAAAGTCGTCATTATGCTGATGGAGAAGCTAGTGCGTGAGGGCTTTCAGTTGACCTATTGCTATTGATACTAAAGTTGATCAGAATGACACATTTCTGTCTTGAAGCAATTCTATTCTAGATTCCTTCTTGTAGCTTTCCAATAATATAGCATAGCTCTCATAATTTCTAAGTTATAGCCAGTTCTTCCATAGCTTCACTAAAAGGTCACAGGTCTCTCAGATGCTAAACACAGCTTCATGATTTATCCATATGTATGTCCACATTTCCTTCCTTTTCTTATTCTCCTTCTCCCTTTCTTCTTTCTTTTGTTTCTAGTTTTCACTTAATTTATTTGACATCTTTCCTTCAACATTTGTTGAGTTCTGCTGTACTCCTGGCACAGTGTGCTTGGTGTTGAAGACACAGTCTAATGTAAAAATTGGGTGCCTGTCTTAGATGCTGGTATAACCAAAGGCAAATCCCCCTACTTCATAGTCTTCTTAGAGACTTCCTAGAGGGCACAACAGGGTACAATAAAGTTTTATCAGAGGAGATCCTATTAGGTGATTTTTCCATCTTAGAAATGATCAGATTACAATAAAAATCTTGATTGCATTGTTCTATGCATGGGCTGGGTAATGTCCTCTTGATTGTTTGCTTAATCCCAGGATGACATCATACATGTACTGGGGTCCTTGTGGAGGCAGTTGACATGACTGGGAATGTGAGGATCCTTTCCCTCACACTCAGTCCTGACCCTGGGCTTCTCATAGATGAAAGGCTATTTCCAGGAGTGTTCCTTGAAACAGGGAGGGCAAATTCCACATCATTTGTCGTTTTCAAGTCTCTGCTGGAAACGACTCTTGGTAATGTTCTGTAAAGTTGCATGAAAAGTTTCAGACTCAAATAATGAACTCTCTTTCTTCAAAAGGAGAGATAGCCATCACACAGACCCTAGATGTATGCATCCTGGCTGAGGTAGACATTCAGCAACCCTCCACTGCTATAAAACCTAGAAAGCTTCCAAATGTCCAGTTCACGCCCCAGTGCATTTTTCTTTTCATGATTGTTTGCATCTTTGCCATCAGAAGATTGAAAAGTGGTTAAAAATAAATGTAAGTTGAAAGCAATAATGAGACAGATTAAAAAGAAAAGCAAAGCATGGTTTCACATCTATAGCCGGGCAGTTGATATGGTGCTTGGAATATAGTTATAGCCACACACAAATGTTTAAGGTCAATAATATCCTGTTTTGTAGACAGAAAATTAAAGCTTGCCCTACCCTTAGTTAGGGAGCTAGTAGATGTAAGTCCCAGGGTTCAAACTCCATTTTCAACTGACTTCATCTTCAGAACACTACCTTTCACAGACTCAGGGCATGGGAGGCCTGGGGTACTTGCTGCCATGTTCTCCCCATAAGAAGAGTAAATGCCCAATAATATTTCCATCCAATCCTTTTCCCAGCCACAGAGATGCGTAAGACGTTTAAGTATGGTTGGACAAGAAGAAACCACCCAAAAAAGGAAACCAACTGCCAGTATTGATTGGGATAAAATTGGGTTTGCTTTAGAAACAGCAGTTGGCATTCTGCAGAGAGGGTTCCTTTCTCAAAAGGGAAAACTAATTTGGAAATTTAATAGTCTTTAATATTTAGGTGTTTTTCCTATTAAAATGCCTAAAAGCCAATATAAATGATTTGAAAGGTATTTTGGAAACCCCAAGACATTTCCTATTTGCTGGTTGCTGCATCAGATTGTGGGGTGGTGACTCTGTGGTTGTTTTAAAGAGTCTGTTAAAGAAAAGAGAGTCTTGGCAGGAGATTCACACTGGCCACTCATGGCAGCCTCAATAATTATTTGAGATCGTGTCATCCTAAATACTTGTTTCCTATCTTGACTTGGGGGATACTTTTCCAATCAGGACAAGCACTGGACAAAATTAAGATGAGGCAGAATTTATCTTTGAAATCAGCAGCTCCATTCACGAGCCCCTTTCCTACTACTGGTCTGTATTAAGTGTATGATAAATTCCTTCCATCTCTCAGGTCAACTGTACCAACTCCATTCTTGGTATTTGGAGATAAAGTTCAGTTTAATGTGTCTCTGACTGGGAATTTTTACCCCTTCCATGAGCAATGAGCTGTATCTTGTGTTCTTCTATGAAATTCTTGGTGCAACATCTTCAACGCAAGAGTTCTCATTTAAGAAAAGTGGGATGGACAAGTCTGAGAAGAAACTTGACAGAGCCCACACACTGTAATTCTCAACTTCACTTAGTTTGGTTACTTTAAAAATATAGATTACTGGCTTTTCAAAAATTGCTCTATGTTACCATGGTTGAAAACACTACATGCCATCCTCCTAGGTTCTCATGAACAACTACCTTAAATGTTAACTCACCAAACAATTACGAATACATTTGCTAACTTAGAACATATGGGGCAATAGAAATGAGTATCTATGCAAACATGGGGCTGCTCATAGGATTGAACCCTGATCTTTGTTTCAGGCAATTGGCATGTCTCACATTTTGTTTCTCATACTAGTTTCCTTAAACTCACGTGAACTAACTACGAAGGACACAGGGCATGCCACTTTGCAGATATGATTGTCACAAACCCTTTGGTTTCTACAGGGAGGTCACACCTGGGCAGATGTATCAGTACCAAGTACAAGCTGAAGCTGGAGGGGAAATTGGAGAAGCTTCACCTCCTCTGAGGCATGTTCACGGAGGCCCTTACTGTGGAGATGGGAAGGTGACAAGGTGAGTCCTGTGAGCTGGGTTGTACTCAGCTGCTCAAAGAAGCTCCGCCCTCCATTTGATACAGGCAGCAGGGAACTGTGTGAGTCACATGGAGAAATCCCCAAATCTGGAATCTCTGCATAGTTTGAAGGGTACCCAGTTTTATTCAGCACTGGTCCCCAGAGTGTTGAGCTATTAGGACTGATTCTCTGGGGCCCCCTTAAGGCACCAGTGAGGAACTTCAGGGCAGTGAGGTAGGGAAGGAGTTAATATAGATGATAGTTAAATAATGCTGAAGGAGGATAGAATTTAGATCAATGTCTGTTTGCTCAGTTTTACAAAGTGGGTGTGATTGGTGGGCAGGGTGACACACCACCCACTGTGCAAATTTCTGTAAACATCACCAAGGGAAGTGTGGAATGATTCCTTTGGTTCCTTAAACATCCTGGGATCCCTTTTCTATTGACCTATGTTATCAGACGAGGAAACTGGTTTGTCTGGAATTTGTCCAAGTTCAGCACTGATATATATCCAGTCCCAGGAAACCCAGGACAGCTGGTCAATTCTTATCTAGCTACCCTTATATAAAGGTTCTGAAAAGTGGGAATTTGGGAGGCAAAGTATGATGCATTGACAAATTCTGCATCTTCTTAAGATGACCCATTTTTTAGTGACCAGGAAAATATATGCTCAATTCTGTATCCTTTTGTGGGACTCCATCTGACCAGTGATCACCGAACATTGTTTATCTTTGTCTTCTGAGATCCTGAAGCTACGGGATAGTTGTGTCCCATCACACACACTAAAGTATAAACCCTAAATATTCTTTCCCATATGAACACAGCAGAAGTCACCTAAATATGGAAATCTCATTCATGTGTCCTCACTCCTCCCTAATCATCCTCAGCGTGATAGCTCTCTTCTTATCCCACTCTCCAACTATGGCTACCACAAGGCCTTGTGGTAACATTTGCCTGGGCATATGTAGCAGAGTGTAGTTCGGGGCCATCTTCCTAATCGGCAGACATGTTACTGCTGTCCCTTGAAGCAGTCTAGCTAGAGGCAGTAGTTCTCTGTCACTGGGTCTCACAAAATTCCACGCCAAACTGTACTGCTTAAGCTTCCGTTTGTATTCCTGACTGTCTCATCAGTGCTGTTGTCCAAGGGTAGACATTTCTGAACCCCAGCTATGCTTCAGTGTGGGGCACCCCAAAACGCAAGACAAATAGGAGTCAGGCAAATTGTTTAACCCACTTGGTTCCAGACAGAAGACTATCAGGCTAAGCATGGGGGAAGGCCCTAAGATTTTGAGCAATGCCCATTCAGAAGTTGACTTTCTCAAGACCTGCTGTCCACCTACCGTCTGAACCACGCAGCACTCGAGACTTCAAAACATGGTGAATGCGAATAAGAGGTGCAATGATTATTTTAATGTAATTTAAGGCAATTCAGTTTTCAAACTGAAACTCAATTTAGTTGCTGGAAACCCTTGAAGTATAGTTTGAAAGTTTGGAACAACTTAGATAGATGAATTGACTTTTTCGACTATGAATACAAAATTGAAGTAAAGGTCAAGTATTTGAAGTGAGATTGAAGTGAAAATGAATTTTAAATGCAGTAGATTTCGGGTGTTTGGGATACAAAAGGAATATTACATGTCTCATCAATCATTTTCCATTGATTAAAAATTCAAATGGTAATGTTCTAAGTACCCTCAGTTGAATGAAATAGTTATTGTAGCTACTTTTATCTGTTTCTTTTACTTTTTAAGTGACCATTAGAAATTTCAAAATTTGTATGGATGACTCTCATTAGATTTCTGTTGGGCTGCACTGCACAAAATGATATGCAATCTGCTTATGTTACTTGTTTAAATTTTCTTCAAAATAAAATTGTCAAGTTGTCTCTTTCTAAGACTATGTCCTAAAAGCCAGACAGGGAAACACCAGTGTAGACCAGTGGTTCTCAACCCAGAAAGGGAAATATCAGTGTAGACCAGGGGTTCTCCACCCAGAAAGGGAAGCATCAATGTAGACCAGGGGTTCTCAACAAAGACAAGGAAACATCAGTGTAGACCAGGGGTTCTCCACCTTCCTAATGCTATGGCCCTTTAATACAATTCCTCATGGTGTGTTGACCCTCAACCATAAAATTATTTTTGTTGCTACTTAATAAGTGTAATTTTGCTACTGTAATGATTCTTAATGTAAATATCTGTGTTTCCTGATGGTCTTAGACAACTCCTGTGAAAGGATTGTTAGATGCCCAAAGATGTGTGGCCCAGAGGTTGAGAACTGCTCGTGTAGACCAATCCTCTATCCACACACGAGGAAACTAAGAATTGTATTTTGAAATACTTCCCGAATATCACACAATAGATTAGACACCTAAGATGAACCATATTGCCTTTGTATGAAAAGATTGTAAAGGGGCTAGAGAAATGGCTCAGTGGTTAAGAGTACTAAATACTCCTTCAAAGGACCTGGTTCAAGTCCCAGAATCCATAAACTGGCTTACAGCTGTTCCTAACTTCAGTTCCAGGGTATCTGACTCTCTGTTTAGGCCTCTGTGGGTATTAGGTGCACAGACATACATCCTGGCAAAACATGCATGTAAGTTAGAAATAAATACATCTTAAAAAGATTATTCAAAAATCTATGACATATATGTATGTATAGTGTAGTTTGGGGAGAAAAGGAATGTGAAATTTTTTAATTTTCCAGTTCTGAGGATTGAAAAGAGGCATTCCATAAATTGGGCTAGTCTTCCATCACTCAACCACACGATCATCCCCTCATAATTTCTTCAACTATGTTTCCTATGTTTTTATTCCTGTCTCCAGTTTCATCTGACAACTTAAAATATAATTACTATGTTTTTGCATCTGCACCATAGTTTTAGTTTATTTATAAACATTCTCATGTCTAACTCATTCTTAATCCATCCGCATAGTTACCTTTGAATAATGATTGGAGCTATTTGTGATATCCTGGGTCTGACAACCTTTTAGAAATCCAAATTTCTCTGTATATGGAGCAATTGAACATATTGAAAAGTAAAGGAGAAAAATTGCAAGTCGTAACCACTTTATAGTAGCCAAATCTTAATTTTTTCATGGGAGTTTCAACTGCAAGGGTTTTATTTGTTTCCATAACAGGCTTTATGAAAGAAATCCCATTGTAGACTTACTTAGGTACTTCATCCTACATTTACTCATCAACTAAGGATCAAAAATGACATTTGGAATTGATATGTAAAATAAAAAAGACTGTTTTTAAAAAATGACATTTTTCCTTTTCCCTGTAATATATGGTGTTTGCCACTAGATGGTGGTAGGAAATAAGAACCATAACTTGAACCCTGGTCGAGCCATTGACAAGCCGTGCTTCTTGAAGCTCTTAGTTTTATGTAAACAGGAGATTCAACTCCACAAAATTCTGACTTTTATAACTTCATCTGCATAAAGGTAAATGATTAAATGAAAAAAACGATAAAATGAATAGAAAATAAAATGACGCAGATGAGCAGGCCTTCCTTCTTACTGATGAACGTTTCCTGTTTTGTCGGCTTTGTTTTATGAGAGGGGGTCTGACTCGGGATGTTCTATGTGTCTCTAGAGTATTGTGCTCCTCTGTGCTCAGAAAAATCAGCTCCTGTTTAAAATCGCCAGTGGTTTTTATTTAAATGTATTAAATTCTTTTATGTTAAAACAGTTAAAATTGCACACAATCCCATGTGATGTTTTTGTTACATTGTATGATATTTAAACAGATTAAACATATCCATCTCTTCATATATCATACTCTTCCAGTAAAAACATTTCAAATTCTCTTTTCTGGCTCCTTGAATTTTTTCCACGTTTGTTTTAGTCAGTCCATTGAGTGAAAGCACGCCAGGGCTTGCTCCTATATAATTATAATTCAGAACACATCAACAAACCTTTCCTTGTCACTCCCTTTTCTCTGCTCTCCTCAATTTCTGTTAGCCACCATTCTACTTTCAATGTGTGTGAGATCAACTTTATGTATCCACAATATGAATGAGGTCACAGGATACCTCTCTTTGTGTGGCTACTTAATTTTACTCAACATAATGATTTCCAGTTCTACACATGCTGTCCCAAATAACTGAATTTCAATTTCCTTTGAGGCAGGATAATATTCTACAATATATATGCTGCCTTATTTCTCTCCATCCATCAGGTGACTGACACTTAGGTGATTTCCATTTCTTAGCTATTTTGAATAATGCTGCAATGAACATTGTAGTACCTATGTCTTTTTGATTTACTAATTAGATTTCTTTTGGATATAACCAGGAGTGGGATTTCAAGATTACATACTAACCCTTTGTGTGTGTGTGTGTATGTATGTTTGTGTATGTTGTCCTACTCTATTTCTTTCATCCATGTTTTATAATTTGCATTGTAAATGGATCATTTTTTGATTTCTATTTCCTATAATTAGTTATTACCATATTGTAATGCTACTGTTTTGGTAAATTACTAGAGCTAATAAATAAATTAAGCAAAATTGATAGCTACAAACTATTTTTAAGCCCCCACTTGTCACAGGTCTGATGAAGATCCTGGCCAGGCACATTCTTGAGTCTCCCACAAGATTCCCCCAGATATTCCCGTGCCACAATACACTTGATTTCTAGGAATTCCTACAACCCACTGACCTAGCTAATCTACCATTTTGCTAAACTCCCATCTACCTTAAATATTTATTTTTTAATATTTTCTGTAAATTATTAAGCATTTGCTTTTTGTACAACTTTCGATTTTTAAAGCACAGTGAAAAACTTAAATGGATTAATGATATCCGAGAGAGAAAAGTCACTTTATATGTGCCTAAATGTATATTTCTAGGAGTATTGGAGAAATGTGTGACGATGGAGACCTGTTGAATGGAGACGGGTGCTCCCGAGTGTGTGCACTGGAGGAAGGCTTCAACTGCGTGGGTGAGTCCAGGGGGAATGTGTTTTATGTTTAGAAATATATCAATGTATTGTTGTGTGAATTCTTAGTGTCTTGTGGCTTACTGATAAAGCCATAACACCAAATACTACATATATAGTCACTAATTTCTCACTTTAACCAAGAAGAAACTAACTGAAGGCACAAAAGGATTAAGTGATTTCTTTTCATTTATTTACCTGAAAGTGCTAGGTAGAATTTGAGTCAAAGAAGCACAGATCTAGAATTTCATGCTTAACAGATTGTATTGCTCCCTAGCTTGATATTACCAGGACATTCTCTCGAGTCCTCACACATATGCCAACATGCTAGATAAACAAGCAATAATGCAGAGTCTACATAGAAATTAGGGTCAGGAAATAATCTAAGCCTGAGTAGAAAAAAGATATCTTTTGATATCTGTGTTTAACAGGTGAGATCATAGAGGCCAGCAGGGGGTCCTGGTGTTTTCTGTCCTGGGGAATGAGTGGTTATCAGTTAGAATTAGATGACTTCATATCTAAACCCTTGGCATTGAGAGGTAGCACACAAGGCTCACCCTAGTTGTGATGAACGCATCCGTGAACAGGTGCTTCAGAGGTAGACTACTTCTCTTCCTGTGCATTGAGAGTAGAGAACCCACACCAAAGTTGTTTTAAGTAGCAGTAACAACTTCAGGGGCCTTAATTCTTAAGATACTATAGTGTATCACAGTGCATAAAACTTTTTATGGTGTCAACTACTACATAAAACATACAGATGCTTCTGCTCTTCACAGCCAAAAGTGAAACACAAAATCTTAGTATCACCTATCTGTCCGTCTGTCTAGCTATCCACCCATCCAAACACCAATCTGCTGTGTATCATATATTAAGTAGTATCACATTTTATATTTAGTATTTATGGAATACTGACATCTGCTAGATTTTCCCCCAGGTGTACAGGACAGTCCAGTTTTGCTTTTAGAGATGTCTCTTCTACCCAGTCCTGAGATATGGGCATGCAGCTTTGCTTACATAATTCCGGCAATGAAAAATGTACTTGAAACATACAATTCTATTTAACAATGGTCTTACCTGTTAAAATGTTCTTTCTCCCAGTTTTCAGTTTGTAAAGTGAGTCTCAGACCATCTTAGTGACTCATCTAGAGGCATACAAGGCCCCTGCCAAGCCGGTCCTGAAACTTCACTTTCCTTCTATTCAATCAAGTGAGGTTTTCTTACTCCGGCGCTTCAGAGGATACATTCTTTCCTGTTTTATTTGACTCCCATTCAGATATTTGAAATGCCTCTTCACTATTCTTCTTTCCAATCCAAACATCCCCGCATGTGATTAGGTTTCCAGACCTTTCCTACTTACCCCAACCTGGCACGCTTTGTTTGGTCGATGCCCAGAAAGGAATCCAATCCCCCAGATGTGGTCTGGCTGTGCGGAGTTCACCGAACCAATCGACCCCCTCTTTTGTGCACAAATATTTGTTAATGCCACCTCTGTTTGTATCATTTCTTCTCGGTAGCCACACAGTGGTCACACACTGAAAATAAACACACAGTCTCCGAACACCGTACCATCTCTAATGCAGCTCAAGTAGCCTTTCACGTAAGAACAGCATTCCCGCTGTTCCTATCACATTTGATCCTTCGACTCATTTTTCTCAGCCTCTAACACCAGTAAGACTATATCTCAATTACTTTAACTATACTTAAGTACTATATTTAAGCTTATGTTTAAGTTACTGACTGGGTTAAATTGATGTGGTATATTTCACTATTAGACATCTTTTTCGATGAATACCTTTATCGTATGCTAAGTGTATGATTTTACCCCATTGCTTTTCAAAATATTAGATTGGAAGGAATCACTGGAAGTGCGATTTTAAATTGTTCTATTATTTTCTTATGGAATTGCAAAAATACATAATGTTTTTTTGTTCTGTGGCTAAAGGAAAAAAAAAACAAGAAATAAGATGGAGCAGTCCCTGAGTTATAGATAGAAAATATATTATCTATGCATATAATTGTCATAAATAATAACAAAGGCAGAAAGAGAGAGAGCTTGCTCTTCTGGGAATGTTGTTTCAAATGCACACATGATGAGAGGGTGCCATAAATTTGATAGACTACAGATGAAAGTCTTAAATGAGCTTAGAACCATGTTCTATAGCGGGTGGCTTACACTGGCATGAAAGTAAATTTACCATGGAAGGGTCTTACATATGAGACAGTTATAAAGGAAAATAATAAGGATATTGGTGAACAGCTGACAAACTACCAGGATATCTTTGTGGGGTTTCTGTGAAGAAGAAAAAATGAAAAAGCATGCTATAAGAACAATAAATCTTAGAAATGGTTTTACTGAGTCAGTGCTGGATAGTGTGGATTTGTTTTGAATCATGATTCTATTTCAGTGTCCTATTTCTTTAAGTAGAAATGAGAAATTGGGTTGTGCTATTAACACTAATTATTCTACACTTTGGTAGAATTTCATAGATAGTTTTATTAGTGTACCTAAGCTCTCTACACTGAAGGAAACCAGTCACAAAGGAGCAATGCTGTTCACCTAGTAGGAACTGCCCTGTGTGGACGGATGGGACTTGCCCAGTGTATCCAAACTCATCTTCCACCTCCAATAGTTGCCCGCAAATATTCCTGTTTTGTTTGTCTTCTCTGTTTCAGTATAGGTGGTACAGGGTACAAGGCTGAAAGAGGCGCGGGCCTAGATTGTCTAAGTCTCGCTCAAACCAAGCCCTATAGTTTGTGAGGGTCACTTCTCAAGTCACACAAACTCATTTAGACTTGCCTATCTCATTTATAAAACAGGCAACAATAATAACAAGAAAGCTACAAACCTCATGGTTGCTGTTAGCTGAAAGAACTGATGCCTATAGACCTGGAGTCTTTGCAGCACAGTTTCTTACAGTTTCTGAGCAGTTATGTGCTCAGAGAAAAATGTCTCAGTGGTAAGAGTAATTTTTTAAAAATCATAATTTGGTGAAGAACCCCCTTAAACAATTGAACATTAAGAAAACCCATGAAGGGGATTCAAATATATCTATATTATATTATTTATTTAAATTCTATTTTTGTAGGCTGGGCGGTGGTGGCGCACACCTTTAATCCCAGCACTCGGGAGGCAGAGGCAGGTGGATCTCTGTAAGTTCAAGGCCAGCCTGGTCTACAAGAGCTAGTTCCAGGACAGGCACCAAAAACTACAGAGAAACCCTGTCTCGAAAATCCAAAAAAAAAAAATCTATTTTTGTTTTTTTCTATGCTTCTCATATTTCTAACATATTCCATGTTTAGTTCAACATTCCCTCAAATACCTTGGCTGGGCATGGTAGCACATGCCTATAATTCTAACACTCAAGAGACAAGAGAATCAGGAGTTCAGTGTCAGCCTGGGCTCCCCAAGACTTTGTCTTATTAAAATAAAACAGCACAAATAAGATGGAATCAACTTTCTTCCTACGACCAGTTCATAGTGTACTTCTCTCTTTATCCTTCTCTCCCAAGTCCAATATTTCCTATGACTTCATTAGATTTTGCTTCTTCTCCAAGAGTATGGTGGTTGATGTTTTGGTGAGTACTGTGCGTCCTGGTCATTACAGGATTGTCTTTAGTGGACTGGAGAATAATTGGGTGGAACAACCATACTACATTTCTCCAAAGACATATTAAAAAAAATCCCTCAAATGTTATACATATTTCTTGGCAGGAGAGCCAAGCCTTTGCTACAGGTATGAGGGAGATGGGATTTGTGAGCCTTTTGAGAAGGAAACCAGCATCATAGACTGTGGCCTCCATACTCCTGAAGGACACTTGGACCAGTGGGCTACCCAGGCATATTCCTACCATGAAGACAAGAAGAAGTGTCCTGCTTCTCTGGTAACAGGAGAACCTCATTCGATGGTAAGTGAAGACAGATGAATGGCATCCCAGCTGGCCCTCAGTGTTTAGGGATCTTACATTCTAGTCAAGATGTTAGCATTCAATTTTGCCATCACTGAGATCAGAACATGTTGTGGGATGTTTTACTCTTTTGACTTTTTTGGGGGGTGCCCACCACCCAGCTTCCAAATAAATCACACACGGAGGCTTATTATTACTTACGAATGCCCAGTCTTAATGTGGCTTGTTTCTTGCCAGCTTTTCTTGTCTTAAATTATCCCAATTAACTTTTGCCTCTGGATTTTTATCTTTTTCTATTTCTGTAGACCTTTTCCCCTTCTTTCTCCATGGCTTGCTGTGTAGCTGAGTGGCTGGCCCCTGACATCGTCCTCTCCTCATTCTGTGGCTCTTCTTTCTCGCCTTGTTTTTCCTTTTATACTCTCTGCCTACTAGCCCCACCTAACCTTCCTTCTGCCTCGCTATTGGCTGTTCATCTCTTTATTAGACCGTCAAGTGTTTAAAGACAGGCAAAGAATCACAGCTTCACAGTTATTCAAATGCAACATAAACAAAAGTCACACACATGAAAATAATATTTCCCAACAAGAACAAGATAGTGTTAGCTGAAAACCTAGATTAATCATAAAATCCTGTAATTCACATGCACACTGCTTGATCTCAACAACTTTTATTCAATAACTCAGGGCATATGCAAGCATTTCAAAGTTTAGCATAGTCTTGGAGCTGTTACAAACTATATTTGGGCTCTATGTGTTGGATGATTTAGTGTAAAATGATCAAAAGCACCAACTAGAAATCAGAAAGTTTGAATTGGACAGCTGGCTACACTAGTATTACTGTTATTACATGACTATGGACAAGTCCCTTAACCACTATGGATTTTTATTTGTTACTGTCTTTTATATTTAACAGGCAAATGTAGAGTTAATTGAAATTTTAAATATATATAAAATGTAAAAGTGTGACTTGATTTAAATTAGTATTGAAGGAATGCCAAAGTTAGTAGTTAGAAAATCAGGTGACTCTTTTTCCCTGACCATCTGCCAACATAGTGAGAGATCTTGGGAAGATTCGAAGAGGCTATACTAATAACATTGTTGAACTGAGGTTGAACACTAAAGACAAGATAAAGGGCAGTTGGTTCTTTGGGTACCATTCCAGATGCTTTCATTGCCAAATAGACTCTTCCATCCGTTGTAACAATGGGCAAGATGTCTACAGAAGTAAAAGCTAGCAGCCCTCTGAGTATTGTAGGCCAGGATGAAATATATAAGTGTATTTTAAACTCCTGCTTTGAGGAGTAAAGGAAGCTAATCAAGATGCCTGTCTCAGGTGTCTTATCAAAGATGCAAGTATCCAGATTCCAGCACTTCCATTCTTTGTTTGTAGTTTTCTTTTTCTTGCTGTGAACACAGCTGTTGCCTCTGTAAACATGAAGTCAGCAGTGTGTGTGTGTGTGTATGTGTGTATGTGTGTGTGTGTGTGTGTGTGTGTGTGTGTGTGTGTGCGTGTATGTGTGTGTGTGTGTTAGTGGCATTTCAGAGCCTTGCAGTCAGCAAATGTTCTGTCACTGAGTTAGGCTCCCAGAATCTTTTAACCAGCTTTTAAGAGAAGAAGAAGAAAGCAGGTTAAAGGGAAGTTGGTGTGTGCCAGCTGAGTGTTTGCTCATGTTTATTGTGAAAAAAAAAGCAAATTTTCTGGAAGCTCCATACTGTAGATTTTCATCTATCTTATGGTCTTCTTAATCAGCCTTATTTGTGGCAAACCTTGAGGAAATGAACATTTACATAACTGGATAACTTTGAACAAAGTTGGCGTTCGTTATTAAAAAGGTGATGGGCAAGATACAATGAGGCAGCTAACCTCTTGGGCCACACTCTCTTTGCCAAGTCTTGGCTTCTTTCTCCTTAGAGTTCTGGTGCCCAGTGACAAAAAGCCAGGAAAGTTGGCGATTCTGAGTTCACGACAGCTCTCTGAAGTGGCTTTTAGTCTAGCCTAAATGTCTTCTCTAAGTGAAGGAGGAGACATTTCCTGAAGTTCTGCTTCTTGGGGTTTCTACCCGGCCAAGTACTCCCAGTCTGCCTGACTCAGTAGCCTTCTGCTTAGGCCAGTTGATGCTGATTGATAAGGACCTAACCATCACCCTAAAAAGACTTGCAAAGTGAATTATTGGATCAGTCCCCTGAAGTGCACCAGAATAATTCTTTGGGCAAGACTCCATGCTGATGGTGGGCAGAGAGTTGTCCTGTGTGTTTTCTACCCTAGAAAGATACATTTTTTTAAAAAAAATGATTTTTATTGAGCTCTACATTTTTCTCTGCCCCCTCCCTCTCTCTATCCTCCCCTTCAACCTTCTCCAAAGATACATCTTGAGGGTTACAGCATTGAGAAATTCTTCTACATGAATTGGGGGTTTTCCCCATTCTAACATCCGCATTCTGTATCTAACAGTGTGGTCATTAGGCAGAAAAGTTGGCTCTGTGCTTGAGAGTGTCCGACTTTATTTGCCTCCTGCACTCCAGACTTAATTTGGGACTGAAATTGCTTTTCAGAATTGTACTACGCATCATCCAGACTCATCCCCCCACCATCTTCTTCCTGGATGGTTTCCCTGTGTCTTCAGTTTGAAGAGAGCCCAGAATGAAGGCAGTGAGCAGTCTGAAGACAGCCTGCAGAAAGACAACGAGATTTGGCTCGAAGTAAGTGAGCCAAATGTTTATTTGGAAAACCTGTAAATAGGGATATACTTGTGTGCACATGTATAGGTAAAATGGGACATTTGACTGACTTATTAGAGTTTTTCTTTCTGTTACCTCAAAGTATTTATATCTTAAATTTATTTAAAATTGACTTTCTTTGAAGTTTGGTCTTCCATATGGGTAATCACTCTAGGGAAATAACGTGCACCATGACATGTAAAATTAGAAATACCATAATTGCCATAGAAATCAAGGAATAAGGCTTTTAATATCACTGTCACAAGACTTTTTTGTGTGTTGTATCACAAACATATCTTGTAGTTTTGCTTCTATTGACACAGATTCCTTTTGCGAAATTGTTGTCTGTTTTTGTTACTTGAGATAGCGTCTCATGCAGCCCAGGTTGTCCTCAGACTCTGACCCTGAGCTCCTGATCCTCCTACTCCACCTCCCGAGTGTTGGGATGACAGGTGTGCACCACCACAAACAGCTTATGAGGTGCTGGTAAGGGATATCAAGGTTTCACACGCATCGTGTGAGGTAGATTCACAGTTTCTGCCCCATGGGTGTTCAGTAGATCCAGAACCAATCTAATCCATCTTAGATCCTCTTTGCTGTACGTCATTTTTGTCAGAACCCAGCTGCAGTATGCATGTGTTGGCTTGTGTGTTGACTCTATCTTTTATTTATTAATTCTGCATTTTGCTCTATTAGATCATATGTTTTGGGGAATATTAGTACACTTTTCAGAACTAAACATTTTATTCAATCTTAAAATTACATAGTGTAAGTCTTAAAGATTCTCCATTTTCTTTAAGAATATATTGGCTATCTCGATATTATACTTTACATTTTATTTGAATTTTATAATCAGCTATTAGTGTTTTAGTCTTACTAGGGTTTATCATTTCCTATAATTTTTTCCTTATCTTTTCATAAAACAAATCAAAGAACTGTAAAGTTTAATTTTTCATTATTTTCTTCATTTTTATTGTTTGTTTTCATGGTTGTGAATATTCTAGACAAGTGTTCAACCATTGAGCTACAGCCATGCTTTTAACTTGTGTTTCCTTTTCTGGTAACTTAAAATGATGTTTTGATAATTGACTTTTGTCCTCTCTACCCACCCTCACACAGAGATAGTCCTCACTTTATGTAGTCTTGTGAGATCACACAATGATTATACAAAGTGAGCAATAATCAATAAGGAGATTATGGTTGCTTCATGACCCTTAAAATATTTTTATTTTTACTTCAAATGCTCTTCCATTTTAGTTATGCATTTGTGGGAAAATAAAAGTAATAGAGCTGCCTTTTGTCTCTGGTTCACTACTACTTAGAACATTGGCGATATAGAAGATCAATGTGTTACACTTCTTTGCAAAAGCTGCAAAGATACCAAGGTAGTTTTACCCTTGCTTGCCTTTTTTTTATGTGACTTCTATGACAGAGCTGGTGTGTTTTTATGACTTGGTGAGTTTTTTATGCCTTGCTTATACCGCTAACCATAGACCAGTTCCTGAAAAGTATTCCTCACTCTTCGATGACATAAAATATTCCGGTGAAGTTCTTTAGCATGAACTTTTTTCTTGATAATGGCTCCTCTAGGAAGTCTTGTTTTTTTGATCAAAGCTACATTCCCTACTGTGGGGGCACAACTTCACTCCACTGCAGTCCTCTGCCTGCGAGTCTGCACTCTTGAACCCCCACCATTCTTAGAGCTGGTTACTCCTTCCACAACACCATTGTCCACTGGTCAGGTTTTGCTTCCAGCATTATCATGTTTCTGTGCTGCATTTTCATCTTGTTGACTTCTTCTTTTGATTATCTATCCTGGCAGATTTTCACATGGGTTTGTCACTGAGGAAAACGTTGAAATCCCATGTGTATTGTGTGTGTAACCCAAATCAAAGCTTCATTCAGGCAGTGAGTGTAAAGAGGAAATGTTTCATCAATATGAAATAGTTCTAGTCACTAAGAGATTACATTATTAAGCCACATTAAAGTCATGACTTTAGCAATGATGGGATTAGTCTATTGGTCAGAATTCAAACATATTACTGGTGTGGAGTTTTTTTGGTTGTTGTTACAAGATTGGCAGTGAAATGTTTATTCAGTTGCTATTAATATATTGTATCAACTTGACTTGAATCACATTGGTGAGTCAGTAGTTTTAGTTAAACTAATTTAATGACCATCATTTGTAGTATGCACATTGGAAATTGCCATGATATTACTACAAATTCCTGTATCTTTCTTCTAAATTATCTTCTTACCTAAAAAGTGTGTTTTTTCTCTCTAGTAATGTTTATTCAATCCTTATATATTTCTATGTTCTTTGATGTACTCCTTCTTACAGTATATTTTAAAACATACTTATCACAATCACTTTAATGTGTAGTTGATACCATCAGTCTCTTTAGTGACGCGAACTGTTGTATGCAGGCGATCTTTTCTCTCCTCACTCACTGGCTTCTCTCTTCTATCACAATGAGTGAAGTCTTAACTGAACATCAGACGCTGAACACCTTGGAGAGATATTGGCTGACACTCTCTTTATTTTGAGATAGCTTTATTGGAATATGTACAAAGATTCATGAAATATTACCTCAATTAAGTAAACAATTTGAAAGACTAGTCTCTGTTCTTATTTCTGTGAGTCCCAATCTAATTTCTTCAGTTTTTTTCCTTTGTTCTAAGAAATTCCCCTTGCAAAACTTAAACTGGGCCCTCTACTTTGAAAGTCTCTAACTTCCATGGCCTCAGCAGTATATGTCTGCCAAGGACCCCTGCAGGGTTTGAGCCTGTCTCTGGACAGTCTTTGCTTCATTTATACTCTTATTTTGCACTGCTTTGGATATTATAACTATTTCTGAGACACAGAATGTCTGATTTCATTTAATGTGATTTATTTCCTTTGGAGTTCTTGAGTCTTGAGTCCTGAAAGATTTGCTTGTTCTCAAACATCATCTTCATCTCACTTAATTTGTATTTTTAAAGTCATCCTGCTAGAGAAATCTCAGCCTGAAACTGTTAATACCCATCAGTTAGCTGCCTCTTGTAGTTTAGGTTTGTAGCCTAGTCCAGCTCAACAGCTAATCTAGAAGAAGAACCTTCATATTACACAACAAAATCAAATCAGAGGTTATATTAGTGTGTAAAGTGTGCTAGTAAAATTTGATTTCATGAACCCATATGGTACCAAGTAATTTAGGAAGAGTATTTTGAAAATAAGCTACATTAAACAAAACATTTTCCAAGCACGGCAGAATTTCTGGCCCTTTACTCTTCATTTTAGTATAATTTAATCTTGATTTGATACACAGATATGATTTGTATGCAGTGAATCAGAGACAAATTTATTGCATAAGTGAAAAACAACAGTACTGGAAAACATTAGTTTTGAAAACTGATTTCCAAAATCTTTCATTCACTTACATGCTACTTGCCAAAATAAAAGTTCTGTCATTTTAGCCAGTTTTACTGAGGTAATATTCTCTTGCTTTTCTTTATTCTAATCTTCAGCCAAAAGAGCAAGAACAGAAGAATTTTTTTACAGAGTATATAATATAAGCCTTTATTGTTTACAATGAGAAGCACATATTAAAGTCATCTATGGCTTATACAATGTATATTCTTCTGCTTTTTTCTGGTATCCTTGCAAATCTTTATGAGTAACAGGAGAGATGTTTTTCTATTTCACAGATGAAGAAAGCATCCACGATTTGAAGTGCTTTTTCTACACCACTAAAGGATAAAATGGTAGTTAGGAAACCATATGCTTACATCTTGACAAAAATCTCATGAATACCCCCCCACACACACACCAAACGCTGTTGCTCATTCAATCAGCATTTATTAAGCACCGGTAGTATGCCAAACCCAGAATTGAGCACTGGTGATGCATAGAGCAGAGCAGAGCAGCAATAGGAAGAGAGCAAGAACACAAGTGGAGACAAGCAAAAGGTGCCCTTCCTTGTTTGGTTGCAGTTCTTCTAAAGTTTTGAAAGACTGCATCAGTGAATCTAGGTGAGAGGATAAATTTTTGTAAACTTACATGCAGGAGCAGGTGAGTTCCAGAAAGTGTGGTTTCTTTAAGAAAGTGCTTTGAATCTAAGTAATGTAGAAAACAAATGCAACTATTTGAGATGCAGACACTCCATAGACACGTGTTTGGTTCCTAGGGAGCTAGTCACCATATGCAAAATCGTATGTTCATGTTTGTTTCTGTGGTTATAAACTGTCTCTAGTTTGAAATGATCTCACTTAGGCTGGACTGGTTAGCAATCCTAACAGAAACCATCGCATGTTCACAGTATTTTAAAAACCAGAGTCCCCACATCAGTTATAAACCATGGATCACTGCCTGGAAATCCTTTCTGCACAAGCCTAAAGCCTGTTCACCATAATTTATCTCCTTTCTTTGTTTGGTATCAACTAGCTAAACACTGAACATCAGTCTCTAGGAACATGCAATGTGTATTAAATTGGTTAGATTTCAAATGAGTACCCCTAACACCATGCAAACAGGGAAAAACACACTTGTTGAACTGTAATCTGTTCCACATAGTTTTTATTATACACACTTTAAAATGATTATTTTAAAATTCAGAGATGCTAAGCATTTAAATGGTGTAACTGGTAAGTATAGATAGGATTATAATTCAAATCCAGTATATACCAAAGACTGTGGTCCTCTGTTTCCATAGCAGGAGTTGGGAATATTTTCTATGAAGAACCAGTTATAAAATACTTCAGGTTTATTGACCACACAACCCATATCATAACTGCTTAACATGGTTATTAGCATGAAGATAGAAAGTATAAATTGTCTTTTTAAAAACAGAACTTCTAATTTTACATACTTTTCATATTATATTTATTTTCATTTTCAGCTATTTGAAAAATATGTGTCTTAGATCACAGCCATATAGAAATAGGAATTGGGTCAGGATTGGCCCACAGACTGCTCTACATCACATTTCTAAGTTACTACTAAA